AGAGTCACACAGCTATGACTATACCCTGGTTTGTTTCAGCATTTCCTCATTAGCCTTAAGGGAACTCTCTTAAAACCTGCTGCCACACACTGCTTCTGTCCTCAGCGTGAAAGGGGATGGTTTCACAGAGCTGTGCAAGGACCCTGGTGCTTGGATGGATTTGGGAGCAGGAGGGAAGGGAGCTCTGTGGTGGCTGAAAAAGCATGTCATCAAATACTGGCTGTATTAATTTATAAATTCTGACCCAACTATTACTGAGTTGGCCAAGGACTGGGTTGAAATCGTATATGAATCTGGGAGCCTTATTTCTCCTTTGGCCTTTCACTTTGGACTTTTTCAAACCAAAACTTCAAAACAAAAATAGAAATATATTATTTAATTTAACATATTTATTCCACCTCTGCTGTGGTCTGGGTTAGGGATTTGGGGTTAGTTTTTTGGTTTGGTTTGGGTTTTTTAAGAAACTAACTAGCCGAATCCACAAAGTAATACACAGTAACCCTACCATGCTCCTATCCTTGAGCGTATGTGCTGCTATGAAGTGACAGTCAGCTGTAGAATTGACCTGTGCTTCATCTCTCGAGGCCTGCACCTCAATGACTACATTATTTGTTGTTTAGCATGTGATAGGTGGTAAAATTTGAGTTGCACAGTTTGCAGAAATGCTGAGTAACTGCTGTTTTCCTTTTATTTTGTTTTAAATAATTCAAAAAGATGCTTATACAAAGCTGTGGGCGCCCTACTGCATAATTAATAATACAACAAAACCGCAGCAGCATTAAAATAATTAGTCAAAAAGGAGCTCTGCCTGTCTGCTATCTACAGAGAAAATTCTGTCCTACCTTTTTATCACTCTGGAAATGTAGATCTAGGTCTCTACAAGCAGTCTAAAATAGATAGCTTTTGCTGAAGTCCCTCTGTTGAAATTTAAGGAGGGATAAAAAGAGCAGGAGCAAAGAGCTGACATGCCCCTGGAGAGCTCAGAGGAGACCACTCCAAAAGGACCAGTGGATACGAGGGGAAATCAGGTCTTTGCTCTCAGAAAGGTGGGATCTGTATCCACCGATTTTAATGAAGGTCCAGTAGGGTCTGAGCTGTGGGTGAAGCAGAGTGTGATAAGGCGGGTGTTGGGGCCACCCTGGCAAGTTACACAGCCACCATCTTTTCCCAGATCATCTGCAAAAGGACCCAACATGAGCTCCCAATCGTGCCTGAATTGTGAACTTTTTTGGATTGGTACACTAAATACTTTTGATGCAGAAGTTGGAATTCAATAATGATTCCTTTGTATAGCAGTCCCTTTTGAAGTAAAGAACCCTGTATCTACAAGAAAACATTATGCAGAGGGATAAATTCTGCTTTTAAGTCTGTATTTTATACATAAATGTCTTATGAATCTCTTTAGCACAATATATGTTAACATGAATATTTACATATGAAAAGGAAATAGGATTTAAAACTATTTAGTTGAATATGTAAGTACCCCTGTCCTTGTTTGATTTCACCCTTCCCCTCCAAATAATCATCAGAGAACTTGAAGGCTTTGGCATTTCAGTCCCTTCTCACAGTAATTTCATTCCTTCTTGAGTGCTGATACTTGGTTCTGTCTTAGCTATTTGATACTGAAGTTTCTCAAAAAGCTTTTACATCCATATCCCCTGTTCAGAAACTGCTTGGCTGCTTTTTTGAAGTCCCCATTTGAATTTCTATCACAATCTTTCCTAAACCATTTTACATCTTGTTTTTTCAGATAGAAAACCAGTGGTGGTCTCAGCCCTGGCTGAAAACCCTGGTGCCATAGCCAGCAGCCCCGTGGCGGTGCTGTGACCTGGTGAGCAGCTCTTCCCAAGGCTGGGCCAAGGACATCAATAATGGTGATGGTCACCCACCTCTCCTGAACTCGATTTAGCACTGAGCACAAGGGAAACACCCATGCTGTGCAACCGCAGCTGCCTCCGGCCCTTTGTGGGCTGCGTTGTCTCATGTCATGCAATACTGTTGTTGCTTATTAAAGGCATCCTCTCATGTTGGCAGCCTACCGGACTATCTTCTTCTAGCTGAGCCTCAAGGCTTATTCCACCACAGCTCAAGAGAGATGAGCGTGCCTTAGCTGTGTGCTGATGCTGTCAGTCAGGCAGGGTGGTTTGGAGTAACAGGCCACCCTTGATCACATATCATGTGCCTGACTTAAGGGCCCCGGCAGGTCCTCGTTCAGGAGAACAATGTGTATGGCTGCCGCTGGGCGACACGGTGAAACCTCATCCTGGTGACAGTGCAGAGAGGTACTGTGTGCGGATTGCCCACAGTTGGACCCATGACAGTGGTACACCAAGACCTTGTAATGAATCCTATGAGTCATGCCATTACTTTTTGATGTATCCTTTAACTTTGTGCTCAGAGGGAGCCCAAACATAGCCCCAGAGCCTTCTCCCTTCTTCACCTTCATGTGGAAGGCCCCTCTGTGTGGTATGGGCAGGCAGGACACTTGTGGGAAAGAACCTTGATTTGGACCACCTAAGGAGCGAGCAACGTAGAAACCCATTCTGGAGACTGGCATTAGTGTAGGGTGAGCAGCCGTTCTGTTGTCATCTTCCATGACAACTGGAAAGTTGTGTCATAAATACTTGTGGCTCTGATCATCTCTGCAGAATATGCTGTGTGACAGACAGCCTTGCTTAGGGGTCTGTATCTTAGGGAGTGTTGAGTCATACGGTTGGTTATTTAAATGTAAATAATAATTGACACATTAAATTTTGAATTTCATTAGGTGGAGGTTTTTAGACTTAGACAAATTACTTTTTTTTTTTTTTTTATATATAACACTGCAACATGCTTACTAGCTTTGACAAAGAGTTTTTTCCCCCGACACAAAGATAGCGGATAATAATAAGCAAGCAGACAAGGTTATACAACAAGGGGATATTTTAATCATCTTTGTTTTGGAGAAGACAGGCCAGAGTGAGGTACCTCTTAGAAATAATCTGTTTCACTGATACTTTGCTTCAACAGATTGACAGCATCTCAGAAAAGAAAATAAGTGTTTGCTATTCCCGTCGTAGACTTCTTTCAATCACTGCGACAGATGTTCCAAGCATGTTGTTCCTCTGTTAGGTTTCTTCACTAGTAAAAATACTGCAGTCTAAATATAGTTTAAATTGGTTGAGGTACCTTGTTTGAATATGATCCAAAATTGCATTATACCTGGTTTAAATCATAGTGTAACAGGACAAAACCATTGGAAAGACAATATTTAAGTTTATTTCAAACCTAGGTAGGAAAAGGAACTTTTCCTTTTAAGAGGAAACTCTTAAAATGTTTCGAAAGGAGTGCTACCTTTTTCTGACATCTTGCAGTTGGACTTGGGATGAACACTAGATAGCATAGTGAGCTCTTCTCCCCCTGCTCATTATTTGGAATTACCTTAGATAAAAATGGAAAAAATATTTAGTTAAATAGTTGTCTTTTCCTGTATCTCCAGTGTTGTCTCCTGTGATAGCTGTATATTATACATCAGGAATACACTGATTTTGTTTTCCTTGGTTTTTTTTCAGTTGAAACGAAGTTTAGCATTCAGGAATAGTTGAAGTGGCAGAGATTGGAGAGAGAACCAGTACACACGCACAATCTACCCATTTTTCCTTTGCGGAATTTGGGAGGTGAGAAGGCTGTAGCCCTTATGAACCCCCCCGCCCTCCACCAGTGAGTTCCAGTTCAAAGCTCTTTGTCATCTCTCCTGCTCACTTGTTCCTGGAGACCAGTGGGAGAGCTAATAGGATGATGCAGGCTGAGTTCTGCTGAATGTGTTGGTGGTACATAAGTCCTCTGTTTTTTTATTCTTTCCCCACCCCCCTGTGCATCTAGATGACTGGTTGCAGTTCTTGAGACCTGCTTCTGGAGACCACTGGGTTGGGAGTGAGGCTGCCTGCCTGGAGTCGGGTCATGGTGGTATGACAGTAACTGCCCTGGCATCCCTTACAAGTGCGATTCTGGTCAGTGACACTGATCGGTGAACACCCCTCATTTGGATACTGGCTGGCTGAAGCTTTCTGCTCGCTCTTTTTTGACATCAGGCCTCAGGACATGTATACAGATGAGGTTGCTAAATTGCAGTGTCTGGGATGAGGTGCTCTTTCGTTTCCGAAAATGATGAGTAGGGCAACACTAGGACATAGTTCAAGGTTTGTTTCGTCACTTGGACTTTCACTCCAGTGGAACAGATTGGGATTTCAACTTTAGAAAATGGAGATCGTCAGTTTGTAATCTATTTTTGTTTCATACTAGTTAATTTTTTAATAGACATAAAATACTCCTCCAAGAAGGAAGTGTAGGGAAATACAGGTACTGTGATCTCCAGCCACTAATGACCGAAAACAGGTAGCATCCTTCATTTTGTGCCCCTTTTTGGGGGAGGAGAGAGAAGCTTGCATGGTAATCACATGCTGCCAGGTCATTACTGCAAATTGTGTGGCAGTAGAAGCAGTCTCTTGAAGGTCCCACTTCTGCAGGAAAACTCACTGGTAGTTGACTTAAGCATCCAATTTTGAGCCTTCACAGGAGAGAGCAGTTCACGTATGCTTTGTCTTGAAGCCGTTTGGGCCCTGCTATGATCTCATGTAAGGAGACCTAGGTTTGTTTTACAAATTTAGAGTTAGCATCATTCATAGTGATCTTTCTTTTTCTTTGTTTTCAAGTTTCTCTGCACAGTGATGATTGTAGTTATTTACTTAATCATTTATTCATGTTACTTGGGTTGATTTAGTGACCATAGGTATTTAAGCTGTGAGAAGGTGGGAAAGACTTTGAACATCTAATGTCTCCCCCTTTTTGCAGCATTGTTCTTGTGATTAAACAGAAGTCCTATAGTGTTTGCCTCAGGAGGCGCTTTATAAAGTTCACAGGTAATTTTCCTACCCATGGACAGCTGAATAATGCACTTCCATTTTTTTGTAGCATGGTCATGGCCTTCTCTTAATTGTTTTTATGAATGTTTGGTTTGGGTTGGTGGTTTTGTTGTTTTTTTTTTTAATGAAGATCATTAACCTACCTCTTGAGTTTGCTTTCCTGTTTGAAGAGTTGAGTGGGACATAGGAGGACAGTTGTGGCATTTGGGCTTCAAACTTCATCTCTGTTGTCCAGCTCACATGCCAAGGCATAGGAGCATGGTGAGACCTTTATTTCCTGAAAGGTAAATTGGTTATTTAGGGGCAGACATCTGAGATTCTTCTTTATTTCTTTGTCATTATCCATTTATAACAACAAGGTTTTGCAGCAAGATGGTGATGTCTTAGCTCAGGATTTAGCAGGGGAAATTACTGCAAGTGAGGAGAAGAGGTAAACTTCTCTTGGAGGTAAATATAGTAAAGATGTTCCTCCCTGCCCATAGTATTTGGATATGGCTAATAAGAATGGGAAACACCTTGGCCTTAACATGACCTTCTGCCCTGGTACTTTGCCATCTGTCTCAAGACCTGCAGTAGATCTGGCTGCCTCTCACAAGCTCTTCTACCAGGATTCTCTTCCCAAAAGGGAAGCAGAAGAGTTACATGAAAATTTTTGCCTTCAGATCTCTATGTTAGAGAACTCAACCAAGATCCTGGTTTTAGCTCCAGTAGAAGTCTAAAACTGGCGCAAACCATATTCTAGCCTCCATTTTTTTGTGTGTATAAAGAAAGTAAATGAACCCATAGTTTAGTATGTAGGGCAGAATATTCCTATCTGACAGCAAGGAGAAAAGTTTTCAGAAAGAGCCACAACTGCCGATTCACAAGTTAGCGAGGCTTCTTCCTCCAACAGGGGATAACAATTTCTTTGTAAGAAATCACCGGCTGAGAGCTCTGAGGAGAGGCGGTATGCTGGGAAACAGAAACTAAAGCAGTTGCAGACATGATACTTCCCTGTTGAACATTCATGAACTGTAGCATTTGTATGTAAGTTTTGTGGCTTGTTACATACGCTTAGCTTGTCAAAAGTTTCTGCAGGCATTAAGGGCAGGCAGTGTAATTTGTGCAGTAGGCAAAATCTGCTGCCTGTGGATGTAACCGTGACCTTACTTGGACTGATAAATAGCTGTCTTATCCATGACCTTTAAGCGCTGAAATATGTTCACCATCTACAGTGTTTTAAGGTTTGCTTCCAAAGAGATCAGTGGATAAAGCGTATGTATGTATGCATTGCTCTGCATGATCCTTTCTGGCTTCTAACACTGTATCAAGGGAATTGCAGAGTTTAGGAGTAGCAGGGCAATCACTTTTCTGTGTGCTCACTTTCTTCCTCGTGAAGGGTGCTCATTCATAGGGATGCATCACTGGTGTTCTGCAGCCTGTTGATCTTAAAGAAAAAAAAAACACCCACGACAGAGTGTAAAGTTGGGTTTTATCCTCTTAATGTAAAATAAAACTCATTTTCTGTTTGCATTCTCCGATTTAATTTGAAAGAAGACAGAGATGATATTAATACATAATGAGGGCAATTCATTTTGTTGGTTCATAGTGGCTCAGATTTAGAAGAAAAAAAACTTAATCAGCACAGTACTTAAGGGCTCCCTGTAAGAACTTATGCTTAACCTTCAGCAAATGCTTATGGGCTGCCCTGAATAGTAATGGCTTTAAGCACATGCTTAAGTGTTTTCCTGAAGGAAGACCTAAGTATCTCAGCAAGTGTTATATTATGGCTTCATTTACCTTTATCATAAATCCCAGCACCAGAGGCAAACTTTTCTTTCATCTCTTGGCAGATATCTGGGTGTATAGATTTCTCCACCTCCCTTTGGCTTGCTTTCTACAGCTCTCTTGCTGCAATCTGATCAGCCTAGGCTGACCTTCGGTGGTGCTCCACATGGGCTGGGGGCCTGCCCGCATGGATCCGATTGCACGATCAAAGTCCACACCTTGCCTTTCATCTGCCTTCCCAGGGTTATTAATTTGAAGAAGTGAAAGCACGCAACCATTTTCTGCTGCACCCATTAACGAGCAGTAAAAATAGGAGTTGAATGTGGTTGAACAGCTTTGCCATAGTCAGTTTTCCATGGTGGGAGATGGCATTGGAGTGGGTTAAATCTGTTTAACAGCCAACCTTGGCTGTTGGTTGGCAGTAGGAAATGCAAAAAAAGGAGAGGGGGTGGGGATTTAAAAAAAAAACCAACCAAAACCTAAACAAAAACCCAAACAACAAACAAATGAGAAACCAAACCAAACTATGCCCAAATCAAAACCCCAGAAAACCCCAATGCACACACGAAAAAAACCCAAACCAAACAAACACCAAAACCCAAAAAAACCCTGTAGAACCTAACCCGCAGTCGTCTTCAAACTCTTGCCAGGGTAAGGGGGAGCAGGGGCCACGCTGCGCGGATGGCGGGGGGATCCGTGGGGGCCGTCGGCCTTTTGGCAGGGATGGACGCGCTCCTCTTGCGTAAGAGGCGGGACTGTCTTTCCCGTAGCTGCCGTTGCCATGGCGAGATGGCGGGGGAGGATTCCTGGGATCCGTAAGCCGGGGAGAGAGATTACGTCTTAACCCGGCACTCCGCTGCGCCTAACGTGATGTGGCGGGGTCGTCCCAGGTGTCCCGGGGGGGGACTCGCCGGGTAACGGGAGCGAGCCAGCAGCCCCCAACTGTTGCAGGCATCATTTTAAATAAAATAAAGCTGGGAGGGGTGTGTGTGGGGGTGGTGGTAGCTCTCAGGGTAAGAGGATTAGATGCGCTTGCATGGGGGCTACGCTGAGAAAAATATAGCAAGATATTGGGGGGAGGGGGGTTGGTTTGAGGTATGGGGCTGATTCCAAAAGAAAAGGGAGGTATACGCATTTATCAGTATTTCTGGCGTCTGCCGAGAACCGGCTGTCATGTACTAACTAGAAGGGGGTTCTTTTAATTTTCGTCTGCATATTTTATCACAGTTGTTATCGTTTTAATCGTAAACTGTGCATATAAGCCTATCCTGAAAATCTGTAAGCAGTAAGCAAGCAGCAAGTCTAAATATTAGCCCTACGCTGATACCTAGTCTAGATCGAGTCATTGACAGATGTCTTTAACATGAATAGAAGGAATGACGGAGGAAGACATCCGTGTCTGCTTTGGTAAGTTTTCTTTTCCTTATCTTCAATTATTAGTGTTTCACTCCATCTCTTGCTTAGTGTCAGAATGGGAGCAGTGGCCACTGATGGGGTCTTTTTGTGCTTTTGAACTCTTTGCTACTCTTTGTTTGAATTCCTAGAAGCAGGTGAGAATTTATTGAGTCCTGTCACTGTGGTCACTTCCTTTGTCGCTACAAGGGTATCATTAGTGTAGGCAAAAACTTTATAAATTCTGACATTTGGTTTTAAGTTTGGAAAAGGTGATGTATTGCCTAGAAGAAAGTATGAAAAATACTGTGCTACAAAATACTATGTTGTAAACATATTTCTTAAGAGAACAAACCCTATCTGAGTTAATAATAATAAGCATTGCTGCAAAACAAATGTGTGTGTGGAAAAAAGTCTTAAGTAAATTTAACATTCTTAAACTGTTTTGCAGCAGTGGGCTAAGAAATGTGTTAGGATGTAAGAGAGTACGCTACTGGGAAATGAGCTTGCATTACACCCACAGAGCATTTACTGTACATTAGTTATAACCCTGTTGTTTTTGTTGTCTGCAATTAATTGAGTAATTTCTTCCATGACTGAAACTGCAGGTTAAGCACGTTTGCTTTGAAAGACAGTCTTCTGAATCGAGACGGCTTTTGCACTTACCATATTAACAAGCTCTTGCAAAGTACATTTTGTGCACCGCGGTTATGAATTCCTGAAAGGTATCGGTAGGGGTTAATTCACTGTTACATAAACAGCCAATAACAGCATTTCATTGTGCTGGAATTGCTCTAAAATAGTTATTAGCTTCTAGGCTATTACAGGGAAAAAGGCTCTGTTTCGTCTGCCTGAACAAAGACATTTTTCTTTTGCAAATATTATTTGTCTGAAAAAGACAGAAATGGACTACAGGAACTTTAAAGCATTCAAGTAAGGACACTGTTATATAAATAGGCAAAACCTAACCTTGGGCTGTAGTGTAGCTTTAGCATTGGGTTTTACAGTGGTGACAAGATCTTTATTTCCAAGTTGTACTGGGAGAAGGGGGGTCACCCAACAAAATCACAACCAAACCAGTTTTCCAGGAGCCAAGTATTTACTGTATGAAGACATTTGAGAAGAGCACTGTTGCTTTAACTAGCAAAGCATACCTGCTACCTGTGCGTGTGCGCACAGACATTCTAAAAATGCAGGTCGGAGCTGGCAACACATAAAGCTGAATAATACGGCCATAGCCAACTGTGCAATCACAGGGAGCCAGAAGGTGGGATTTATTCCAGGAGGGTTATGCAGTGGTTCAGCACACTCCAGGTGGTGCAGGAAGGAGCTGAGAAATGGTTTCTGAGCGACTGGGCGCTCTGCCTGGGTCGCAGGGGTGCCTGCCTGTTGCTGGAGGGCAGCAGATATGCCTGCAGCCATTTCTGGTGGCTTCTGGTTTTGAAACTTCCCATCAGGAATTTGCTAGCTGTTTTTGTTGTTGGAGTGTTTATTGAGCCCAGCAGGCCTGTTACCTGTTGAAGGAGCCTGCAAACCTGGTGCTGTCTTCTTTGGATATGAGCAGCTGTTGTTTGCTCAGAGAAGTTGAAGTGTTTGGCTACGAGAACTCTGCTTGCGTTCAGACGTCCTCGGTTGCTCCCGGACTAGCTTACAGCTGTTCTTTTCGGGAACTAGAAATATTGCTTCTGCTGCATTTCTATAAGTAAAGAGTACAGCGAGGGTTGGTGTTTTGGTTTGGGTTTTTTTTTTTTTTGTGTGTAATTCAGCTGCCTTTTGCATATGTCTGATGTTTGTTAATATTGACAACTACTTTCGGAGAGAGAAAGTAACTTAGGTTTTGGTTGTTTCAGCTACAGGGATTTGACTCTTGTTTATTTTAAAATGCTGTCTTGTTCTGCATCACCAGCAGTTATTTATTTAGGCTTGTAAGGCAAACACATGACTTTGCATTAACCTTTCTTTCCCTCCCGTCTCCCCTGACCCCAGAGTAGTTCAGCCTGAAACCTGATAAGTTAATCACAGTTACCTTGGCAAAATTAAAAACAAATGAAGATGGATGAAGCTTGACCTTAAAATTATTTTGAATAGACTAGGCATATGCAGCTGAAAGCATTAATTGCTGCTGTTTTGGCAGCTACCTTTGACAGTGTAGGGTTTCAGTAAATGCTTCCTCCCTGAAGGAAGTGAGACATGCCCTGTCGTCTGCTTCGCTTCTAGAGCCCTTCTGAAGCTCGCTGGATTTATGAGTAGTCTTAATCGATGTCGTGCAGATATGCCTTTCAGATATTTTCACTTCCCTGACGTGGAACTAGTGTCAGCTTAGCTCTGTATCTTTATTTCAGTATACGTATACTTGTCACAGGGAATTAAGTCTTTGTGCACTGTTTAAAAATGGCAGACCTTTACCACAGTCAATATAATTATAATGGAATTAATGAGATTTTAAATTAAGAAGAATTTTTGCTCATTTGTCGATTATGTACCATGATTTGATTATAAATCCCAGCAGTGCTGATGGCCCTGGAGATGATAGATGACAGGACACAGTACATACTGAGAGATCAGCTATTAATATTGGTTCATCCAGTCCTGGCTTGTACTGTGAAAAGACATTGAGGAGGCACCTATAACTCAACCGTGTAATTTATTTTGAGGGAGACTCCAAAAGAAAACTCAAGCACAAGTCTTCTCATGAATATATTTGGAAATATCTTCATGATATTAAATCCAATGATAGAAGTTCTTGTAGCATATTTTACCAAAAGTGGTCCTAAACCTTTGTAAGTTGTCTTTCATCTAGAAAGCGAGTAGTACAGGGAGATTGAGAAGTAGGGATAAGGCTTTTGGATCTTAATGAATATCATTCTGCTAGCCCAACCAGAGAGGAAATGTCAGGTGGGAGGCTGAGCTGGTTTTAAAGAAACACATCTGGGTTTTTTGGTGTGGTCTAAGTGTCCATTTGAGACATTGACCATACTGTTTCAGTCTTTACTGTCTGGGCTTTTTATGTTATAAAGTGTACAGTCACAAACCAGTTTGTGCTGAGCCTAGTAAGATTTTATTCTGGTTGAACATCCGTGCTTTATTACATGTCTTTATTGCCATTGCAAGATAAGTAGCAGGTTTTTACTACTTATTAAGTTTTATCTTCAAAGATTATTTCCAAAAGATTGAAACGGGTTGTTACCTCACCTAGGAGTTATGAGTGTGATTGTCAGGAGCACTTGCAAGTTGAGTTAGATGAACACTGTTTTAATTGGCAGGAGTTTTGCCATCAGCTTCTGTGGGAAAGTTAGTCAAAACCCATCACCGACATCATAGTGGCTTTGAAAATTCTGAACTATGTTATGAAAATTTTTGACTTTGGAATTAATTGCTACAAGTTGGAAGAAGAGACTATTTTCTAACTAGCCTAAATTTGCATTGTCCTTACAATATTTCATTTACACTGTATTTAGGAGATGCATACAGAAGTCACGTGTGTTTTTGCAGAAGGGTTTTAGGCATCTAGCTTTGTGTGGGCCCTGTCTGAGACAGTTTAGCAGGGTCTGATTTCCAGAAAGTCCCTTGCTGAAAACCAGGCTGATTTAAGAGAACTGTGGTTGAGGTTTTGACTCATTAGCTGCTTTTTAAGTTGTTGGTCTAACTATTTAGTATAACCTGTCAGAGTGTGTAAGGGCAAGAGGAGTTTGTGTAGCCACCATGGATGCAGTAGTAATATGTGATGAAATAGCAACAAATCAAGCTGCTTTTAAATTTTTGTGCGCCATTGGAAAAGGCACCAGTAAATGAGAAGATACGCTCAGGAGGGCATCTAAGGGGTTAATTCAAGAGTATGTTCTATGTAAGTAGCTGGCAATAAACTAAATATCTCTCTAAGACTTAATGTGTGCAGCAACTATGTTCCTTAGGAATATAAATTATCTTTCCAATAAATCCTTGGAGCAAGGAAACGTTGTTTTGTGGACTATAGCTAAGGCACACAGGAAGGTTGTGGTGGGTGCCAGTACCGAACATGCATATCCCACGAAAAGTTCCTTAACCCTGAGACCTGACTTTCCCCTCCTTGTGTAAGTAATTCCCTGTGGTGTTTCACCCGCACCTCTCTGGCATCATCCCACGTATTCTCTTCTGCCTTCCCATCACTGAGCCATGTGGTTGAAAACAAGCATTCCCTTCTCTTTTCCTGCTTGCCACAGAAGAGGGAATTTTGTGCCACTGGTAGGCATCTTGCTACCTGCTTTTTTTTATTGCTCTGTGCCTGGATGCTTTCCAAGGCAGCCAGTCCTCACTTTCATCTACGCCCTGGGATTCCAGAGGAGCGACGAAGAAGCAAACCTTTGTGTGAGATTTGGCTGGTTTGCAGAGTCGCTTGCCACAGGGGAGTGGAAGTCATAACAAGGGAGTTCCCACAGATAGGTGGGTGTTGTGGGGTTGTGCCAGGAAGTTTTGGTTTCCTAATAAAACTGTAAGATGAAATTCTGGTTCTTTTAAAAATCCTTGAGAGCTTTAAAGTCAGCCTAAGCATGGTCTGAATTTTGGTGAAGAAGCATGGGGTTTTCTGGGTTAACCACTTTTTTGTATTTAGGCTTTCCACTGCTCTGG